CTCCGTTGTTCCACCGTTTTTAGAGATGTGGGTACGGAGGAAAAGAGAGGGTTGTATTTTCTGACACACCGGGGACACATTCATGTAGAAAAGATTGATCTTGTGTTTTCTCTCTCAGGTGAAATCACTACTAAGGGTATCGTGGTTCCGATGTTGAAGGAAATCTACGAGCCGGCGCTGGCCCGACTGAAGGAGGAAGGACTTCACTTCATGTCTAAGAGCGACCTGCAGGAGTAGATCTGTAATCACTGTAAATACTATCCAACACATCAAGAGAAAACACATTAGACCCACATGCTACCAGCTGCCTTTTCACCAACTTCATCCAAACTGGATCTCCTGACAGACTCTCCTGTTTAAAATTAGATTTATAACTCACCTGCCAGGCGCTGACAAAATAAATATTTTTAGGGGGAATATTTGAATATGTGAACGGTCAAAAAGGGTTTAAACTCCCTAAAGTTCTTATTTATTGTGTTGAATTTCAATTTGAGTGACAGTTAGATTTAGATTTGAAGTCAAAAAGCTCATTAAAGGGAAGCAGGGGTCGGCTGTATCATACAATAAAAGCTCTTCTGTGAAGATCTGTAAAAGGTTGACTAATCAAACACTATTTTAGGTGTTAAAAAGCAATAAATAACACACACTTTCATTTTACTGCCTTGAATCATAAATCTGTCTCTAAGTGTTAGAAATCCCTTTAGACGATGAACTGTTCCATGTTTTAAACCGTCCTTATTTCCCCTCCATGGTTTCAAACAGCATCTGCATTTATTAAAAATCCATTAAAACGTAGCTCAATACTGCACTGACCTTCTAACTGTGATGCATTTCAAAAGTACACAAGTGATAGAAATGAAACCGTCCAACATAGAAAACGTTGAATAAAATAACAGAATATGATTTAGCCTCAGATGTAGTCGTCCACTGTATTAAATACCAAAGAAGCTGAGAGCAGCTGCTAGTGATTATTTCCAGCTTGTTTTGTACGGGATCACGAGTCAAGTGTTTATATTGTTTTGCTCATGTCTCAAATATATGTAGACAATACTATTTTTTTCTTCTTCTTCTGAGCAAAAAGTCAGAATTGCGAGAAAAACATGTCGTTTTTTTTCCTAGAAAATCGCATAATTTAAGTTTTTTGTCTCTGAATTATGAATTTTTCCACAAAACTCTTAAAGATATTCCCTTTTTAAACAGTCGGATGTCAAAAGAAAAGTCACATGTTGCCCTAATCCTTTTGGCAAAAAAAAGAAATTGTCAATTCTGACTGCTTTACAAGGAAGTGTCTTGTTTAAAATCCTATGGAAAACTTCCCTGGTGTTACATTAGTAGAAAACAACATTTTAAAATAAAAAAAACGAACTCACTTCACATATCTTGAGATAAATGTATATTATCTTGTGGTAATATCTAAAAAAAATAGTAATCTGCGCTCTACAAATGTGTTTTTTATTGAATATTGTATATTAACTCATTTATTGGGTAACTCTGATCCATACCAGCGAGTAACGTAGACATTTTGGATTTGTTTTAAAGAGTGCTTATTGTTTTTTGTGGAGCCTGTGTGAAGTTTCCCCAGAGTGGATATGGAGTATTTATTGTCTACAAACTGAGCACTATTTATTTGTGTTGTTGGCGATGACGTGGTCACCTTGGTTTGTAGGATGCTTTAAATGGTTAAAAAAAACAAAGAGAGATTTTATACACACCTGAGATGTATTTTTTTAAATAATATATCCATATCCGACATGTAGATTATATGTGGGACTCCAGAGGGTTGTTAAAAAGAAGTATTTCAGTTTAACGGTTTTACAATTTCAGTATTGCTTTAATTTACCTCGTGGTAAAACACACTTTTATTATTTTTAATATTTCAGTTGACACTGATGATAAAAAGCTTGTTTTGATAGAAGATTTTTGCTTTAGGAAAATGTAAACATGCTTACATGAATAAAAACCTTTCTGTGATGTGCTTTCATTATTTGAAAAAGGGACAAATAAAGTTATCTCTGAATGTATTCATCTTTTTTATCCATTATTTTTTAGTCACACTCAACTATATTAATGCATCTGTTTAATGGGGCGACTGTGGCTGCGAGGGAGTGCAGTCGTCTTTCAACCAGATTGTTGTGGGTTCGATCCGGTTAGATCCCAGCCCATGCAGTCAACATGTCGATGTATCCTTGGTCAAGATACTTAATGCTGTGTGAATGTGTAGGAATGTTAGTTCCTCGAGTAAGGTACACATAGGTGAATGACATGTAGTACGTAAAACGCTTTGAGGGGTCTTAAAGACTGGATAAAGCGCTATATAAGTACAGTCCATTTACCCTTTAATGCAATTTAATCATCTAATAATTCGTTTTTTTTAATTAGGCAATTTATTAAATATGGTTTCTGTGTTGGCACAGTGCAGCCTCCACAATTTACTGTTTTTGTCACTGACGTCGAATCAGAAACCAAAACATAATTAGCCGTTAGCAGTTAGCACACAGAGCTTACAGCTGCTCATATCTATTCAGAAACTGCAGAAAAGTCATACAAGTACACAACACAAACTACCTAAGGCATGGTAAATACAGTAGCTGCTTTATATCTGTCGGTATCTCACAGAAATAAATAAAGCAGAGGCAATATGACGTTTTTGTGAGTGTAGACGGAGCAGCTACATGTTAGCTTAGCCAGATGGATCAGATCTCCATTCAGAAAATACGAATTTTAAAAGTGTTTCGTTTGCCGTCTTGTGTTCAAACTTGTCAAAGCATTAAATCATGTTTTTAACAAACCGGTATCCGTATGTTGTCATTTCGGCATCATTTTGAAATGTGTACCCTTACAATTGAACGTACCACTTCAAAATAAGGCTATCTTTTTTTTAAGGATTTTAATTAGGTGAACTAAACTCAATACTTAATTTCTTTTTTTACTATCTTCATAAACAATTTGAAAGAGACCCTATTGGGACTTTTGGGGTTTCCCTTTACTGTAGTGTGTTATATAGGTTTTTTACAGAGGGAGTTGATCTGAACCTGAAAATGAGCAAATAGGGCCACTTTCAGTAAAACTTCTGCTTTTCCTTAAATAAAACTTCCTCAACACTATTCATTTAACACAGGCTTTCAGATTTAAATAATAGTTAGAGATAGTTATTTTCCTGACAGAAGTTACTAATTGCATTTTATGATCTTCGACAGGCTTCAGCTCCTCTGTAAAAAAAGACAATCAGCCGGTTTGCTTCCACTCGATTTGAAGGCAGCCATGCAAACTAGGCCACCAAGCAGGGGATAATTGGGCATGTAATTATGAAAAGTCAAAAATGCAAATGAAGGTGTGGATAAGGGCGGACGGTCAACTCCACGTCTGGACACTTGACCTAATTATTTCCGTCCTGAAAAGGCGCGTTTTCTTGCAGAGTTTTAGCCCGGATTAACACAGGGGGAAATCAATTGGAATAACCAGTTCAGCGCAGGGATTAAAGCATGACTCCATAAAGGGAAAATACATAATCCACAGGTTTTTTCATCAGACACCACGTCTTCATTTTCAGACATTGTTTGTTAACACCTCTCTCCTGTCGGGTGTCTGCTCCACCTTTTGTCTCGCGGCGTGACCTCTTACCTCTACTTGTTGGTCGTCTGCGAGGCTAATTCTGGTGCTGTAATTGACTCTGAAGAACACACCAGATACATGTAAATGTAACCCGCTTTCCCAGCCAATAGTGAGCCACGGTGCATTGTGCAGATATTGTATTCAACACATTTTAATTGGAGATATATTCGGTTTTAAAATGTACAAAAACTGAATCTTATTGAGATCTTTGTCGATCAATATTCCTGTTGCTGTTAGTTTTATACAGTTACTTTATCCATTATCTTATTTCATCTTTTCTTATCTTAATTTATCAGCCCTGTTGTGATTGGCTAAGGGACGGGGTATCGCTAAACTGTTGACCAATCACGTACAATGTGTTGGAGCGCTAGCCAATTTAATTTCACTCCAATTTGTCTTCAAACAACATTTATTTTATTTTCACTCTTCACTTTTTTATAAAAATTCAATATTATTCTGTCACTATCCAGTGCTTTTGGGACATTTTGTTTTCTCGAAGACAGTTTACAACCAATAAAATACATTTAGATTATCCCTTTCTAGACACATAAAAGGAGTATTTGACCAATGTGTTTGTGCCTTTACTAACAGTAATCCCTTTGTTGATTAAAATGTGTTGCTGCTGTACAATTATAGTCATGAACACGGTAAAAAAAATCCAACAGTCTGTTTTTTTGGTGTTCTTTCACGTATTTAATGCCCTATCTAATAATCCAGCAGTGTTTCATGTCCAGCTAAAAAAAAAAACATGTCAGTATCCCATGCATCACATTTAGTCTGTTACAAAATGTCAGAATATAAAAACATTAATGTCCTTGAACTAAGCAATTATTATTAAAACCATAACATTTGAAAAGCGCTAAAAATGGTCAAATATAAAAATCTAAAAGTATAAATAGAAATTTGGTCCATCGAGTTGATTACTATAATATTATTTACATTCGATTATTATTATTTTGTATTATTCCAGGCCCTTATTTCATCCAATAGCACACAGCTGCTACTGTTGCGATGGTATTTACAGAGGAGGAGTTCAGTGCAGGAGCTCTGTAAAAGACAAGCTAACAAAATATTTCATTTAATGTAAAAAGATGCCCTTTTTTATCCCATTTGGCTCAGTGCCAATAAATACAAAACGTTTAGGAAGAGTGTGTTAGTGTTATAATAAATCGCACAGTTAGTCTACAGCTTGTAACAAAGTTAGAAAGTACAGGATGAAAAATACAAAAAGGCACACGTTACAAAAGTCCAGATCCAGCGAAAAGAGGACACACTCTCGGCCTCAAACTATTTGTTTATCTTAGTCTGGCATCAGGGTTGGTGTTTGAGCAGGAAGGATAATACAAAGGCTGTTTCTCGTTTAAAGTTCTCTGTGTGTTTTGGGGCGATCACACGAGGGATTCAAGGCTCTCGGCGGTGCTGGCGGTTCCCACCACGATCGTCCCGTTGTTGTCGGAGGAATTCAGAGTGTCCTCGTCTTCTTGTGTCCCGATGAGACTCAGCATGGCTCTGTACAGGAACTGGTACTGCTCCTGAGAAACCACCACAGGTACACAATTGTTATACTTACTGTTGGGAAAACACTGAAAGTCCTCTTCCAACATGAGAGTCACATGAATACAAAGGTATCCCAACTGTAGCTGTGAACATGACAGGATGTGTGATTACCTAGAAAAGCATCAGGACTGTTTGAGGCATATGATAGCTATGTGATTAACATGATGATTCAGCCTCTATGGAGAGAGACATATGACAAGCATGATCATTTCTGACGTGGAGCTAATCTGAAGTAAACATTGAATACTGCTTTCTATTCCTCCATCTTGTGACTGTGGAACTCCCTCTCTTGGATATCAGCATGTGAAGGACACTGTTCAGGAACTAGTTGATGCTCTGTATGTGATGACTACTTCCATTCTGGAGAGGATCAGAGATACATGGATACTGAGATTCAAAATCAAGCCGGAGACCAGTGATATTTTTTAAACAGTTCTTTAATCGTACCTGGAAAGGCTTCACCGTGACGCCCGCTTTGTTCTTCTTCTTCACCACTTCAATCAGTTTGTGGACGATCTGATCCACAACATAATCGATGTGTCTGCCGCCCTGGAATAAGAAATTCAAATGTTAAATAGCTTTATTGGCACGACCATAATGACAAAGCATTGTACTTATAATGAAAATTATAACAGGATAGGATTTGATAGTTAAAAGTAGGCTTATAGTAAGGGCTGGATCAGGCTTGCAATAAACGTCCTCTTGGATGCTTTATTTTATAGTCATTTCATTTTAATATTGTTTTTATATTTATTTTAAATAATTTAATTTCAAATTGTTTTATTTAATACATTTTTTTGTACTTTTATTTATTTTGAATAATGTAATTTCAATTAATTTCCAATAATAATTTTTCTTTTAAATAATATTATTTTAATATTTTTTAAATGTCATACGATTTAGTTTAATTGATCTATAATGATAGATGAATGTACATTATCATTTTTATTTGTATTCTATTCATTTACATATCAAATAAATTAGCTATAAAAAATAAATGGATTTGATTTTCAAAATATATATATCTGGAATCTATCGGTGTCCATTTAAAAAAATACATAATACAAAAAATACAAAAAACAGAAATCATACTGGCAAATTATGAAATGTCTCCCACTGCTCCCAGTAGCCTTCAGTGTGTGTTCCCAGTAGCCTTCAGTGTGTGTTCCCAGTAGTCTCTATGGAGTGTGTTCCTAGTAGCCTTCAGTGTGTGTTCCCAGTAGTCTCTATAGAGTGTGTTCCCAGTAGTCTTCAGTGTGTGTTCCCAGTAGTCTCTATAGTGTGTTCCTAGTAGCCTTCAGTGTGTGTTCCCAGTAGTCTCTATAGAGTGTGTTCCCAGTAGTCTTCAGTGTGTGTTCCCAGTAGTCTTCTGTGTGTGTTCCCAGTAGTCTTCAGTGTGTGTTCCCAGTAGTCTCTATGGAGTGTGTTCCTAGTAGCCTTCAGTGTGTGTTCCCAGTAGTCTCTATGGAGTGTGTTCCTAGTAGCCTTCAGTGTGTGTTCCCAGTAGTCTCTATGGAGTGTGTTCCTAGTAGCCTTCAGTGTGTGTTCCCAGTAGTCTCTATAGTGTGTGTTCCCAGTAGTCTCTATAGAGTGTGTTCA